AACTTTAAGGCCACGAGTTTGACCTTCTTCTCTTCGGACACATTCTTGAAGTCAAAGACACGTTCAACGGTCTCTAACCATTCAAGAAAGTCATCAGGGTCGTTCTTTCCTTCGAAAGTGGGCATGTCAACCTTGAAATCAGAGGCTGACTTCTCTGGATTTCTAGTTCTTATGGTAGCAACAGAACTAGCATCATCTTCATCTTCACTTTCTTCAGGAGTTTGAACCATACTCATCTTGAATTTAGCGAGCTTTGCCACTTCTTTTGCCAAGTATTCAACTTGAGTCTTCAATTCTGCATTGGAAGCAATAAGCTCTTCTTGGGACATGTTTTGAGTTGTGTGAGACATGGTTTAAAAGAACCAGGTGTAGGGAAAGAGGGGTGTAGTTGGTGATGTGAAGAAAATTCAGCAAGGTAAGATAGTCGATTATCTGAGTTTGATAATCGATTATCGATGGTATCAGGATCAAGATTGGGAGAGAAAGAGAGGGAAGTGTTTGTGGTCCTCAAATAGATGTTCAACAACAACCTCTGATACCAAAGTGTTCTACCCGAGACCCGGGGTGGTCTAGGATATCAATTTAAGAAGAGAAAGAAGAAGAGAAGGTGTAGAAATATAAGGGAGGCTGAATTCAGGAGAAAAACAAGAGAGAGGGAAAGAAGCATTTATCAAGTGAATTTAAGAGGAATCACACACACTTATCTTCACTCGAGTTAAACTCTAGTATTTAAATAAGGAATCACTCAACTTATTTAATATATCTAGAACCTAAAACTCCCACTTAAGAGAACCACTCTTAAGATATAGAATTAGGATTTAATATATAGAATTTAGAGAGAGAACTGAGTAGGAAACTTATATTATCACAATATATTTTACAAGCTGATTAATACAATGAACCAGGGCTGAAATATATAGGCCATGGAATGGAGAAAACAATACAACAAACATGATTACATGATAAATAAAATACAACAAAGGAAACTTCCCACTTCTTTCCTACAAAATAAAACAAATGCTGTGCATGTGTTAATCCCAAATGAGTTGAATTCAAGGCTAATGATCAGGGATTTGGCATGTATTTTGGGTGGTCTTAATGTATGATTTTCGTCCTTAAGGTGGGAGAATAAAGGAAACAACATGGCTTGACTTTTAGTGAGTAATAGGACAAGATATTACTATTCAATCAAAGACTTTTTGGGCAGGCACATGGATGAGGGATTAAGCTTATAAAAGTCTTTGATTTTGTTGAATAATAACATGGGAATTTCGTCCATATATAGTGGGAATGGTATGTAGTCAAGTGTGTTCCTAAATGACAAAACCTTTTACTGTTAAATCAAAGACCACTTTGGCTTCTAAGTTCTGAGACAGGTGATAATCGATTATCTATTACTGATAATCGATTAACAAAGACTGGCTTCCAAACTAGATATCCTCTGAGATGAGTGATAATCAATTTTCTGTTGGGAGATAATCGATTATGGAGCATTGCAGGAATACGTTAGGAGAAATCACAGGGAAGTAATAGTCGATTATCTATGTTGGATAATCGATTATTATGACTTTAAAACAAACAGGTTTTATTCTGCCTTTTCTTGTTCACCTTCGGCCTAGGCTTAGTAATGAATAACAAAGACTTTATTTGGACAGATAAAATGATTTTGGATGTTTATGGGAGAAGGTTTATGGGTTATGGTTTTTGGCTTAGGGAGGGTTTTGGGCAGCAAGGGTTATGGTTTGGGCCTTTTGATGGAAAGAAGGAATGAATTCAACCCAATAAGGATTATAACAATTAAGCATTAACTCCTGATTTTGCTTACCCTTTGGTGATGCATGGTGGGGTACAAAGGGATTCATTAGGGATTCATCAGGCCAAGCGTGTGTAACACCCTGATCAGTCCAGGTCTGCAGCACCTTTCGGACTAAAGTATAGACTTGGTAATCGTAAAATTTAAAACATTTCAAACATTTTTATTTATCTTCAATAATATTCAGTACATTAACAATAACAATACAAAGTGTTTAATATTACGGAAGCGAATTAAATTATGTCACATATCAATCACAGATAATTATTCCAGTCTTTTGAAACCAATAATCAATTTGTCACATCCGGCCTGACAATCTTTCCCCATCTGCCACCAAGAATTCATCACTTCATTCTTTTTCTTTACCTGTGTGTAGCTAATAAAACATACTACACGCTTAGCGGTGAAGCTGAGTAAAGATATCTAATGCATCGAACATCCATATAAATTGAATCTCAATTCCTAATCAAATCATTTCATATCATGAGCATAATATTCATTTCAAGAATTCATAATTATTAGTTTAATTAGAATATTCATTAAAGTCCGATTGTAAACAACATCAATAATAATCATCATAATGATCGATAACAAATAGCAGCCTAGCGTCGAGTGTTAAAACCCTAGCTTACCGTCATAGATAACATAAGGTTCTTGGATGATCAAAACATCATTTTTATTTTCAGAAATCATTTTTATATTGATCATAATTGATTAGTATAAAAAATATGATTTTATAGCTTCAAAAATAGCATTTTTGGACTTAAAAATGTTCGGAACGGTCGATTGTTGGGTCCGAGTAGTTGTCCGTACCGTTCTCAAACAATTTACATCGTACGGTACATAGAGATGGTACCTCAATACCGTGACACGGTACCTTGGAATCATTAAACAGTACGTAATTTCTGTAAACGCGTAGATTACTATTCATCGTCTTCTACCTTCGGCCATTTTTCTCAAACTTCATTTTAGGTCACCTAACTTTAATTAAGCTATATAGAAATGCTCCAAGGTTTGTAGATCATTTTAGAGGCATCAATTCAAAGTTTTAACAACAAATTCAAGGTTTATGGTTCTTAGTTTTTCAAGCATTTCCAACATAAAACTCAACCAAGCAGTCATTTATGAACGTAGAGATGCTCTATACGAACATTCTAATTACTAGATATATCTAAGGAATTACCTCGGAGCTTAGTGATGATTCCGGTGATTGAACGACGAAGCTCTCTGGACAACACTACTTTGCTCTTTATCCTCACAGCTCTTTAAAGTAGGAAGAATGGTTAAGGTTTGGGGAGTTTATATAGTGGAAGGGAGAGGCTCAAGAAGTGGTTGACTCTGTATTTCTTGTTCTTCCGTCAGCGATGGTGCGTTAGTGGAGGGGTCGACGATTTCTTCCGATATCAAATGCAAGTCCCTGATTGAGACTAATTTTAGTCCCAATAAGGGTACACTTTTTGGTCGTGCTTTCTCTGAATTCAAATCCAATTGTACTATTGTGACCATGAAGTCAAACTCTACACAACGATATAATTTTCATTATTTATTGACAAACTTTATAAGCAACTTATTTTTGGATCCTTCTTAGTAATAAATTAATTATCAATTAATTCTGATAGACCTATTTTCAGAGTGTTACATTTGTTAGAATAAGTTTCCTTCACTAAAGGGGAAGGGGTGAATAGTGAGACATGAGAATGATTATAAATTTTCACGGAATAAAAATTACAGGGATAAAGTATAGGAAGGAATCATGAAGCTTAAGGTTAGAACACACCGATATACACGGGTTCACCACAACGTGTGGCTACATCCAGTCTCCCGAGAGACTCTCTTGAGCTACACTACTTCTGTTAAGCTTAAGGGTGCTTAACAAACTGTTACAACTTGAGAACTCGAGTCCCACAAGCCTCAATATACTTGCTTGGAGATACCACACTCCAAGACTTCAACCTGAAGTAATATAACTTTCCTTCGTACAAACAAGGGAACAAACCTCCCTTAGAGAGTTTACAACACTTAAGCACTCAAGAACAAAAACTCTTTTAAAGAGTAGAATATGAGTAAACTAATTTAGATCAAGAACACACTTAAATCCTCAATAAATGGCTCTAAAAATATATGTAAAAAGTTTATAAAATGATGCAATGTAAAGCTATGAAATGTGTGACGAATGGTTGTGAAAAGTATATCCAAACGACCCCTATTTATACCCAAAAATGATGTGCAAGGGATGGGAGTTGATTGGGGTTTATTGACATGATTTATGGAAATCAAATCAAAGTTGGTCTATAGAATTTCGGTCTAACATTGATGTCAATATAGTGAACATTGCTGTTTTGGTTTTGACTTTCCTTTAGAAATGGCTAACAGTCACCAAAATATCGATGTTTTGAAGGCGACATTGATGTTGGGGTGATTGACTTTCAAAAAATGAAAGATTTTGTCTTAAATACCCCAACGGTCAGTCGAAAACATCGATGTTCACAAGTGAACATCGTTGTTCAAAAATGGTTGTTCAATATTGACCATCAATGTTGAAAACCCTACCAGATTGCTTTCGATTAAGCCTAACATCAATGTTCATAAATAAACATCACTATTCAAATCATGGATGACTACAAAATATTTGCAATAAGTGGGGGGAAAAATCCCTTTCTAATTGGTGATATTCCGCCACTAATAGCAATTTAGCAGTGACTTAGCGACAGAACGCAATCTGCTGCTTATTGGGTTGCTAGTATTTTTAGTAGGGAAATAGTCCGCCACTAATTTAGAAGGTGACCTTTCTGCTGCTTATTTAGAGGGAGACTTTTCCGCTGCTAATTTAGAGGGAGATTTTTCTGCCCCTAATATAGAGGATTTTTTCGCCGCTAACAATCTGCATAATTAAAGGGGGAATAATCCCCCGGTGATAGATTTTTCTAAAATAAACAATATATATATATATATATATATATATATATATATATATATATATATATATATATATATATATATATATATATATATATATACATACATACATACATACACGATAAAATAAAAAAAGAAGACCCGAACATCAATACACAACACCATCATTAAAAATAACATAAGTTATACACGTCACATTTACGACTACACAAAAAAGTTCTAAAATGTATCAAATGTATCCCAAATTTCAATGCTTCCCCCACCACCATGGAACAGAGTGACCATGATAGCACATTCGTTATAAGTGGCTTCAACATCTTCTTGACCTTTGTATAGCTCCCATGCAGCTGTGAAACGCCCAACATCTTTTTCAAAGTCAGAATAGGAAACCATCACCTACGCACACACACTTCAAAGCATGAGATGAGGTGAACATAGTAAACTAGTGAACCACCTATTCTTTATGAACATATATATGTAAGCATGAGATGAGGTGAACATATATATGTAAGGGTACCTCTTGGTGTCCATCATGATTCTTTATGACATATCCTATTTACCAATCAATGGATAGTAATTTCCGGATAGCCGATCCAACTCCTCTCAAGTCTTTCACAGTCTCAAACAGAGGAACCACTTGCAGTCTGTTTCAAATGCAATATACTCCCTCCGTCCACAAATAAATTTTACATTACGCGTTACGATATTTGACTGAAATTATTTTCAAATCATTTTATATGAAAAATGGTGTAGAATTGAAAAATAAAAATTACATATTAAAAAACTATATCAAAAGATCTACAAAACTAGAGGTGACGTGACTATATTATTTTATCAAATGAATGACGAAAATAGGCCAACAATGTGAATAAAGTTTGACCCTGTGAATAGTAAACGTAAAGTGTTTTTTACTGGACGGAGGGAGTATGATTTTAATACTTCAAATGTGTCAATAGAAAACCTATCGAATTGAGTCCATCACATGCAAAGCTTGATAATCAGACGAGTCATGTTGATCATTCAATCCCACCTTTTTCTCCAAACTGGCATAAAATATTTAATCATTAGGTGTGGCTAAGGAAACCTTTTTTCCGTTTAAGAGGGAAAAGATTTCTTCTGCTTAGGGAACGAAAAAACATGTCGTACGAATAAAGATGGTTTGTAAATGTACAAGGTTATTGATTTCTTCTAATAATTTATGGTTAATGTTGAGATACTTTCAGCAGTTATCTATCCTATATTAACTCCCCAAAATGGAATGAGCATACAGTTGTGGCCAAAACTTGAACAAAAAAGTTATTTATTGTTACCACAATCAAGTATTTTTTTTTTCTTTTTTAAAATTTTACCACAATCAAGTATTTATTCACTCTTACATTCCATCAGGGATATTGCTGCATAGATATTCAAAAGTTAAGACATTAGAGAAAGGAATTAAAAGTTATTCATAAAAGTTGGAAACCCAAGATAAATATCAATTAACACTTGGATAGAAATTGTGTTAGAATAGGTGCCCTTCACTAGAGGGGGGGTGAATAGTGAGGCACGAGAATGTTTATAAATTTTCGCGGAATAAAAATCGCAAGGATAAAGTAAAGAACGTAAAAAGTAAAGAGCGTAAAAAAGCGTAAAGAGAGCACACCAAGATTTATATTGGTTCACCACAACGTGTGGCTAGTCCAGTCTCCCGAGAGACTCTCTCGAGCTACACTACTTCCGTTAAGTTTACGGGTGCTTAACAAACCGTTACAACCTGAGAACTCGAGTCCCACGAGCCTCAATACACTTGCTCGGAGATACCGCACTCCAAGACTTCAACTCGAAGGAATATGCCCTTCCTTCGTACAACCAAGGGAACAAACCTCCCTTAAAGTGTTCACAACACTAAACCACTCAAGAACAAAAACTCTCTTAAAGAGTAGAATATGAGTAAACTAATTTAGATCGAGAACACACTCAATTCCTCTAGAAATGGCTCTAAAAAGCTATGTAAAAAGTTTATGGAATGATGCAATGTAAAGCTATGAAATGTGTGAGGAATGGATGTGAAAAGTAGACCCAAGAGACCCCTTTTTATACCCAAAAACAAGGTGCAACGGTTGGGAGAAGATTGGAGTTGATTGGCTTGATTTGTGGAAATCAAATAAAAGTGGATCTACTGAAATCTAGCCCGACAGCGCTGTTCATATAGTGAACATCGCTGTTCTGGCTTTGACTTTCCTTTAAAAATGGCTAACGGTCATCAAAACATCGATGTCTAGAAGTCTACATTGCTGTTGGGGTGTTTGACTTTCAAAAATGGAAAGATTTTTTCTTAAATAACCCAACGGTCATTTGAAAACATCGCTGTTCAATAATGAACATCGCTGTTCAAAAACTTACTGCCCAAGACTGACGTGAGCCAATCTGGCCAAAACATAGATGTTCAAATCTCAACATCGCTGTTCAGACATAGATGTTCAAATCCCAACATCGCTGTCCAGACATCTATGTTCAAGATCCTACATCTATGTTGGGCCTCGTCGCCAGAACCATGGTTTGGCAGCCAACACCGAAAACTGATGTCAAAAACCAAAGTTCTCCAATATGAAAACCAAGTGTTGGAAACTCTTATATAATGTATTTTAGGTAGAAACCAAGTATAAAAACTTAAAAACCACTTCATTAAGGTAAAAACCACGGCTAGTCAAGTTTATGCCGTTTCACATGGTTTTCACCAAAAGACCAAAAACGAAAGGTGCTTTTTAACATGTTTTTGTTGGAGAACCATTTGGATATGTCCAGAGGTAAAAACCAATCATAAAATATTAAAAACCACTTGATTGATTTGGACGCCAAAAACCAACGCCGATAACCAACACCGAATGCTAATAACCAACGCCGAAAAACAAAGGTTATGGTTTTTGAAAACTAATCATTTGGAAAAACTTTAAATGTGTCCAGAAGCATAAACCAAAGATAAAAACCCAACAACCATTTGGTTAAAATCAATGCCAATAACCAATGCCGAAAACCGAACGCCATAGCCGAACGCCGATAACCGATGGTTATGGTTATGGTTAAGAAAGAACCATGGGTTTTAGAAACTTAAAAACAATTTATGAAAACATTAATTTGATGCATGAAAAACATATTTTGTTTTGAGCCATGACGTAGAGAAATTGAATGAGCTTGTTACAATAAAACCTAAGTCTTTAGAATACGTCTTCAAAACGCCAATGTCGCCATCTTTAGCAACGTCAATGTTGTTCTTGTGCTTTTTGTTTCTTCAAAGAACTTTTTCTATCTTTTCATTTTGTTCCATGTTCCCGACGGTTTGTCAATATCAAAACCTAAACGGAAACAAACATTGTCATTAGCAAAATGTCAAAGTGAAAATGTTTTCCAACAATTTCCCTCTTTTTGATAATGACAAACCAAGGAGAAGATATGCAGGCCAAGTTGGGTTTTCAAAGAGAGAGTAATGGTCATTCCCCCTACGTCTTTGAAAACAAGATTCCCCCTCACTTGTTGCATATACCCAAACACTTCCCCCTTTTGGCATTAGCAAAAAGCACTAAGTAAAGTTTAAATAAAAGGTACTCCCTGAGCATTGATGTTTGATACAAAACATCATTGTTGTATGTTCCCCCTGAAACTGATACCATGTTTATAGCAAAAACAATTCCCCCCAAAATCCCCTTGATGCAAATTATTAGGTTTCGTGCTTGGAGCATCCACTACAAAAATGTAGTCTTCAAACACACCTACATATGCATCTAATAATTTTTAGGTACCCAAAAACTTTTGGGTCCTTGAGGGTTAGGAATATAATAATCATAGCTATAAAACAAATCCCTATGTTTGGTAAAACAAACGGGTGCTATGTGTCCTATCTTAGAGCAATAATGGCAAGTTGCATTTGGGTTATTCATATGCCTAGGTTGAGCCAAAAAATTTCTAGGTGATCTAAAGTCATTATTCCTAGAATTATTAATTAAGTTACTAGACTCATTTCTAGGTTGCCTCAAATTATTTTTATCATTTATAAAAATTTTCGAGTCATTTCTAGGTTGTCTCAACTTATTATTTTTATTCTTCCTAAAATTAATTTTGTTATTCTTAGGATTATTTGTTCTTCTAGGTGGTTTATCATTATTAACTTCTTAACTAAGTTTCTTAGGTTCTTCTACCTTAAGTTTTTATATGGTGCTTTTAAGTTCTACATTCTCTATTTTTAAAGACTCACAAGAGGAGCAAGTAGAACTTTGGTCAAAGGAAGAAGCTTCATTCATTGCCTTAATTTTATTTTTGAGGTCAAAGTTATCATTTTCCAAAAATTTATTTTCCTCTTCCAAAGCATGAATTTTTACCTTAGCCTCTTCTGCAATTTTTGAAGTTTTCTTCAATTCACCAAATATTTATTGAAAAGCTTCTTGTAATTCTTCAATTGAGAAAGAGTTAGAAGTACTTACCTCTCCATTTTATTCATGAGCCATAAGACATAAGGTGGCAGTTTCGTCACCGGAAATTTCCGAATCCCATGCCATGTATGCTCGCTCCTTCTTCTTCTTTTCCTTGCGGTATGGGTAATATGGCTTAATGTGGCCAAGTTCTCTACAACCAAAGCACGTTGGAACGGGTTTCCCCTTTCTTTTAAAATCTCGGGACCTAAGTTCTTCCTTCAAAAACTCTTGGAACTTCTCGAGCAAGTTATAAGAAGGATTATCATCATCGCTATCGGAGTCACTTACCTCTACACTTTTTGAGGATGAGGCTTTGAGAGCGAGACCGAGACTCTTGTGAAGAGAAGGTTTAAGAACAGTAGATTCATAAGTTTTAAGATTACCTCGAAGACCATCGATGGTGACATTGGTGTTACCAATTGACTCATATATGGCATCGGCTTTTGAACGCCATTCTGATGTTAAGCTCCGAAGGATTTTTCGAACAAGATCTTTGTTCGAGTATGTTTTACCAAGGACATGTAGATCGTTGATGATCTTTAAAAATCGGTCAAACATTTGATCAACGCTTTCAATTTCCTTCATTTTAAACAACTCATATTCATGGGTTAGAAAATCAATTTTAGCTTCACGGACTTGAGGCGTACCTTCGTATGTCACTTCAAGCTTATCCCACATTTCTTTTGCGGTGGAGCAAGAAGAAATTTTCCGGTAGTCATCCGGGTTAATTGCACAAAAAATCACGTGTTTAGCTTTTTCAAAAGCTTCTACCTTCTTGATGTCTTCAGCATCATATTCTTCCTCCTT